ATTGAGAAGAGCGAGAACACGACAGAGCGGGAGAAGACGGAATCATCAACGAGGGGATCGAAAGGATAAGCCAACTAACACACAGTCAGTCCTACTTCAGTGCCACCCACCGAGGTACTGGGGGCGCCGGGAATAGGCACGCAGGCCATAATCACCAATGTTGCCTTGTCTTAATTTGAGCTTTACATTGTGTTCCAACATTTTCACCATCTTTATTCGTATCCCTCACACTAGCGCCGCAGATCAGTTTTAGCCTTGACACAGGCGGTCACCGGGCCAGCCATCCTTTAAGTTACCTTCGTCCATAGCACCATCTTTATTACTACGCTTTCTATCCCCATCTCCGTCCCCATCCTAGAAAAACCTCTTCCACTCCTCCCAACGACAGATGCAGGAAAAGCCAAATGCACGCTGCTGTTGATATATGGGATGCAACCGCTGGTACGAACACACTCGTAGTCGTGGTACGATCGATTGTGGTAATGTGATCGCGGCACTTCTGAAGGTGTCTAGCCAGCAACGCACAGCCCCGCCTCCTGCCGTGCGCTAAGGAGCCACTATTAGGGGTATAGCCTCTTACTCAGTTGGGAGAGGAGGAGGGGGGGGGGGGGGCTCCCCTACCAAATTTGAAAAGATAGTGGGCTAAACGTAGAAAGGACTCCGTTTGTTGGCTTTTTTGGGGACGGAAGCGTCATTTTGCACTGCTCCCCTCCCCTACAACTCAGTTTTGCGAAATTACGCCCGTCGCTCCTATCACCCATGAAGCTTTGCAGCTCGCGCACAGAGAGCAAACTTGCGAAGACATCGCATGGCTTAATACCCCAAAAGTATTCATTCGATTTCATTCCGCACGTGCAGCTTCTGAGAAAACCTCATGTCACAAGCTGGTTTGGTCGGCCCGTGGACTGGACTGATGAAAACTTGCTGACCGGGGACAAAGAAACAAAAGCAACCAAAGGATCCAAGTCGGAGTGTGCTTCTTGGCAACAGTATTTCGCGAGGTTCGTCCCAGACCACCAACATAGCAACGTTCCTAGACTTTGTCAGTGAGCTAACTGACCGCGGGAATGTTGAGGCGACACCAAGACGTAATGCAACGAGGCTTGCCAGCCTGGAGCGAACCAACTGCAGCCCGGCTGGGACGCAAGCGGACCCCACCAGCAATGTTTGGAAGCAAAACCCACGGTATGCAACCCGACGCCAGTTGCACGATACGGCCCCTGCCGTGGACTTGCGTAATGGCCGTGTAAACCAAACACATGCTTACGGCGAAATTCCAGCACACCCTCTGCATAAAGTCTTAGGTGTGAAGCCGCACTGCAGGCTGGGTATTTTTCTCCACATTTAAAGCAGTTCTCAGAGTTGGACAAAGCCTCACGCTGTAAAAACAAATATCCAGGCATGCACTGTAGCTATGCACGTGCGTATCACTTCCGAAGCGAAGCGTATGAAAAACAACAGACTTGAAACTTTCGGTGACACTTAGAAGCCAGGAGCGCTCGAACTCTTCCCGCATTTTGATCGGATTTACAGGCTTCTGTTATGTGTAGTTCGTACGCTTATGTAGCTTCTTTTGCTCGACCCGGACACGTAGCCAATTCCAGTCAGTAGAAGACGACTTTTCCAAAATGGTTAATTTGACCCATTTCCCGGCGAAATCGCCTAGCATCTAGTGTTAACCTGTTGGCTCAGGGGGCGGGGAGGGGCACGGCCCCTTGGCCCTCCTCTTGGCTATGTCCCTGTGCCAGTGTTAGGTAGTGTAGTTTTGATTTTGTTATTGTTTCAGCATTATGGAACATCCACTTGAACAAGTACCTTGTGGGCCCATGCAACATTTTGACTGGCCTTTACACAGAGGTCGTTACGAGGTTACACCTTACACACCTTTACAGTGTTTTTGCCTTGCGTCATGCGCGACATTTTTGGGTATTGTTGTACGCCATGGGCATATTCCGTCAAATGGCTACTCCCATGCAATGCTGCTAAATGTAGCACTGGGCATCTAGGCGCCCCAAACCCTCGTCCCGTGTACCGCGATCGGAGCACTTCACTGTTGCAGATCTCCAACGAGAATGGCCCGACGTCCACTGTGGACGGGGCACCCGAAGTTCCCCACGCAGGCAGGGGCTGTAGTCTGCATGATAAACCAGGCATTGGGGGGGGGGGGGGGGGGGGGGGGGGGCACGACACGCTCACTCGAGCACCAGGACAGCGAGGTGCTGATGCTGCAGTTGCGACCCTCAGCCGCTGCCCCCTGGGTGGCGCGCTGCCGGGTACTGCCCTAGCGGTGGTTGGCTGGCGCCTGCTCGTCGTTGCCGCTTTAGGACTTAACGACGCACTCCATCCTGAGGCTATATGAGGTCGCCTGCCTCTCACCCTGGCAACAAGGGCGGGCACCGCGAAGAATCGAGCCCCGTACCTCTAGTTTCCCAGACATGTAGTGGTGAACACAGAAGCGCTAACCACTTCACTAACGTCACACCTCATCGCACCGCTCGTTCTCTGGGTGGCGCGCTATCGGGTGCTGCCCTAGCGGTATTTGGCTGGCGCCTGTTCGCCCCTGCCAGCAGCGGCCAGAGCGTGGCCGCTCGGCGCGCCCAAGCACCGTCAGGGCGATGCGCCTGAGCACCGTCAGGGCGATGCGCCTGAGCACCGTCAGGGCGATGCGCCTGGGCACCGTCAGGACGATGCGCCTGAGCGGCGTCAGGGCGATGCGCCCAAGCACCGTCAGGGCGATGCGCCTGAGCAGCGTCAGGGCGATGCGCCCAAGCACCGTCAGGGCGATGCATTGACGTCTTTTTGAGTGAGGCGTGTACGAGTGCCGCGTTGCCCAAGTCCCGACTTCCTTCGGCGAACTGGCACTCGCACTCGCAGATGTCATGCGATGCAATGCTGGATCTATGAAAGGCAACAAATCAATGTCACATCTACCAGCTCACTTCATTTGTCCCATTTTTGTTGTTGTTATTGACTAGTAAATGAGCCATGCCATCCAATACTGTACTAGCGAAATGCAGTCAGAGAGAAAAGACAACTTCGCTACTATCATGGCACCCTGGCTACAGAACCAGAAACTTGCGAGTCGGTGAAGCAACCAGCAGCCTGACTTATATTTGACACATATTTGACATCTCACACACAAGGTTGTGGGAACTGGTGCTAAGTGAAGTAAATATAGGTGCCCTTGTGGTCAATGACCGGAGTATGTGAGTGTGTGCGTGTATATGCGCGAGTGCCTATGTGTATGCATCTGTATCTGTGAGTGAATAAAGATGCTACACCGTTACTGTGTTGCATATTTTAAGATACAGCCCTCTAAGTCACGCCATGTCATGTGTTTATAGACTGTTTGATATCCATGGCAACATATTTCCCACAACCTAAGACCAGAGATAAAAACATAGGTGTTCAGGGTAAAAGTGCCTTAAGCATTCAAGGGACAGAAAGTTGAGCACAAGGAGCTGGCATTACTCAACCACAACCACAACAGTTCTGGCTCTACCACCAAGGGAAAGAGGCACACCCATTCAGAGACAAAATTGTGGCTCCTCAGACACCATCAAACTTAACCAGAGCTCAGCTAGCCCCCCCCCCCAGGCAAGAAGCACTTTAAATGTCTTCCCTTTACAAAGGTGTACAGTGGTTATAGGAAGTTGCGATGAGTGTCCGGCAGCCATAGTTGTGGATGCATATGTTATAGTGCATGACATGCACATTTGTAGATGCACCATGACATACAGATGGATGACACACATTCCCAGATCTAAGATAAAGTTTCTTTTTCTCATCATAAGGAAAACCAGAGCCATTTAGAAGTACTTTCTTCTAGAAGTGAAGTTGACCCCTATTTAATCTGATGATGGGCAAGGACCCAGATGCCAATCTCCTACCAGGTGTGCCTCTTTCTCCTGGCAGTGGGAACAGAGTTGCTCCAGCTGAACTTGTAGCAGGTGGCAGACAAGTGGATTTACCAGAAGCATTTCAGACATTGGTCTTTGAACATTTGTGATCAAGGGCCTGCAGCAAGAAAAGAAGAGGCTTAGATACTCAGCATCAACTTACCCCATCAACTTTTTGTCCCCCAAATGCTCAACACATGCTTATCTCAATATTTGATGCTTGATCCCTAGCCTTATACTGTGAGATTTCTGTTCTCATGATTCTTCAACATCAGGCATGCCATGGCCCATGGGGTCCCTAGCTTCCAAGTGTAACATGACAGTGGTGTAACATCCTTATGCTAGACACATAGATACAAACCTCCTAAAGTGCAAGCAGATGCAGACACACCAAAAGTTGGTGTTATGGGATATCTCAGGCACAAGGTCAGTTACAATGAAGCAGAGATATCAGCTGCCTCATATGGATTGCTGTCACAATGTGCAATGTCAAAAAGTGAAATGGTTTTCATTTAAGTGTTGTGTGTTTCATTTCACTGCAAACATAACAGCCTGAAATACTCCCATTTTTAAACAGATATACCAAAGAACAGAAATATGCCTACTCTGGCCACCACCTAAACAAGTTTTTTCTAACATACCAAACATACTGGCTGGGGAGCAGCTCATGCCACATTCTGACCAACTAAGGAGTTCAAAAATAGCATTGATAGGCTCCAGCTAGAAATTTTAGTTGTGAGTTCTGGGCTACCCTGCACAACAATGTAACTCATAATAGACCTCTATTGACAAATCAAAAATTGTAGTAGCCAAATAAATTTAGCATGAATTACTCTGATGCATATACATTTAATAAGCACTCAGTTATATACCTCCCATGAGCCACACAATGTATTCAAAATAAAATCAGATATGCTGCACCCTGAAATGTATAATGTGGAAACAATTCCTTTGGCATCTTTTATCCAAAATACTTAGCACAGACATGAGTCATTGTTAGTGCATTAATAGCTTTCCTTGCTAGCAAATACCAGGTCAACTACTTGTCCACAACAACAACAACACAACAACACCATGTCCATTGTGCCCTGCTGTGCTTACCTTCTAGACGCCATCTTCTAAAGCTTGCTGATTCCGCCACAATGACTGGGTATGTGAGTCTTGGACAACAAGCAACTTCAGTAGATGTTTGTAAACTTGCTCTTGAAGGACACTTCAAAATCAATGTGGGATTTCAATAACTGGGTTCCTAACTCTTTAGCCAAGGGTTTCAAACATGCAGAGGGCATGCAACTCCTTCACGCTTCAACTCAGTTTTCAAAAACAATCTTCATGAGCAATCATGAAACCAGAGGGCCAACAACCTGGGAATTACCATCCAGCATTAATGATAAATTGCTTGATCCAACTATCGAGACAAGCTCCTCCCTTTGTTCATGGAATTTCCACTGCCTCCTGCAACACGAACAGTGTGCACAGTGGCTCCCTTAGGCTTCGGGACAGATCCAAACCAAGTAGTTTTGGGATTGCGGAAGGGGTCGACGTCTCACGCTCGCAACCGTCCAATGATACCAAAGTCTGACGGCTCTCTCCGCCAGCGCACAAATATCCGAAGTTCCCACCACTTTCGCAGTGCCCCTCCTCCAGTATCTACCTATCAATACGCCCACGACCCTCCCCACTGCACAGCGGCTCACCCACTCCCCGTCGTCATCGCCGTAGTACGAGTCGCAGCGTTTAGTAGCTCGGGTAAAATATTGCTGTCCTACAGATAAAACAGATGGCGCCACGGGATGCAGCAATCACGCCCACATCACTCTGTTCGCAGCGCAACACTAAGCTAAACAGTCTGTGACGTCAGTGTCCACGGCCTTTAGTTTGTTTTGTGGTATTTGTACGATTATCATTTCAATTAGAAGAGGTAAAACACTTTGGAATGCCTACAGCTAGTAGCCTCACTACTCAATAACTACTTTGAAGTTTGACAGTCCGAACCTTAAGTTGTGAGATCCAGAATCACGGAGCTGCTATAATCCCTTAGAAGTAAAACGTTTTGTTCTGCGCAAACTTTATTCTTAAGGACAAAAAATTACTGCAACTATTCACATGTCACTTAATGAAATGCGTATTTTAGGAAGTATTCTTCAATCATCCTGATCTCGGTTACCAATGACGTCAGATACCAGGTTCAGCAAAATATTTTATCACGCCCGAAAACAGGTGCATTTTTATCAGATTGCACAGATTGCATTGCCCGAAAACTATTGGAGTTGTTCGCAGCAAATCAGGCTTAAGTCGGGTGAGTCGTGAATCGGGTACCGGGTGCACTGTTTTTGTCCATGTCAATTCCTTGTGGAAAAGGGTTTTCTAGTTGTGACTCAAGGATGGAAAATTACAAGTCTCGCGAGACGTTTTGATGCTGATGTTGAGCAATTTCTGCTTTCCGGTGATATTTCGTGTTTTTTGTTGCTAAGGTGGGTACTGAGGTCGGTGCTTGGACTGCACATAATGAGTGCAAACTGCAAGTAGGCGAGGATTGGGCCGGCGGTGCCGCATTTACGACGGTGAGTGGTTATATATATATATATATATATATATATATATATATATATATATATATATATATATATATATATATATCGTGGAGTGATCATTATCCATCGTTGAAGCCGCAGATTGCTCGTCCTTGGTCAGTTTTTCAGCTGAACGCCCAAGCTTCGTGCATATTTAAGGATGGCTCTGCATTGGGGATGGGAAGTAAGTAACAGTAGAAGGCTGCTTTATTTGGTGCAGATTTCCCATCTAGCTGACATAGGCGGTGTGAATTTACGGGATTAGTGCAAAGAAAGAAATGTCGCTCAGACTTTCACTAACGGGGCTGGCAAATTGACAAAACCGCAGATTTTCATGCCTGCAAGATGAATTTGCAAGGAAAGTTTTGTTCCACTTTTTAAATCATTTTTCTGTCCACTGTCCTGGTCACCATTTGATTATTATATGGTCATCCCTATCCTTCTACCAGCATTTGATTGTGCTGGCTGAAAGGCAAAAATCACTGATGTTTTCCCAAGGTGTTGTGTGACAACTGCAACAGAAAGACGAGACAGTTCTGTTAGCCTTATTTGTCTTAAAATGAGCAGGAGGAAGGGGAGATAGATGGATCAGTATTTTAGATGCATGTCTTTATCAAAACAACAATGGCATGCAGGCATTTCGCAAAGGCAGACATTTTATTTTTATGCAGGCATGTGGCCAAAATATTAACACATCAGTGCCTCCTTTCTCCTGATTATTCTAAGGCTAACAGCACTGTTTTACCTATGTGCCTAATGCTGCTCACAAATGCAATGTACAACTTGCAACAAGATATTTACATTGGTAAAGGTACCTTGAGTACCTCAAGTATCTCAAGCACTCAGGGCCTTTTGCCTATGATGCTCTTAACAAGTACTTAAAAGATACTGTGATTTTCCTTTAATGCTGTAATGACAGCATATAAATTTGACTGCCCAATCTTACCTTACCTTACCTTACCTTATGGTGATCAGGAATTGTAAAAGGCCACTGGGCCTGTAGGTCCCGGTCTTGTCAGGCTCCCAGTCCGGTAACCAAACAGTCTCAAATTATGGGAATATTCAGTGTGGGACGTGTACATGATGTCAGCCCAGTGCCCATCAAGCCTAGCCTTGAACTGTTCAACTGAGGTCGATGACACGACCAGGTGCAGGTGCGGAAGAGCGTTCCAGTCGTTGACAGTCCGTGTGCTGAATGAGTTGCGACCGACGAGAGTCCTAGCTCGAGGTTTTCTGAGCTTCCATTGGTGTCCTCTCGTCACCTCCGAGTTGTGCCTTGTCAGGAACTCCTCTTCCGATAGCGACATGCCTCCATGAAATAGCTGGTACACTGTTTCCATGTCTCCCTTGCGACGACGATAGTACAGTGAGGGCGGCTGAAGGAGTCTGAGCCTCTCAGGGTATGGCTGGCGCCTCACTTCATAGACAAGCCGGGTAGCTCGTCGCTGAACTCGTTCCAGCCGTTTCTGGTCCAGTTTGCCGAACGGGCCCCAGATAACGTTGCCATACTCAAAGTACGGACATACCAAGATCTTAAAAAGCAATGGCAACGTGCGAGAAAGACGATTTGCAAGAAATGAAAATGTGAAAAAAGAAGAAAAAGAAATGTGAAAAAACAGCATCTTGCCTTAACACCTTTGCTTTGAAGAAATTTAAATAATAATAATGATGTCAGCAAACCTTATAAGGACTACCATACCTCTGTCCTACGCATGAACCTGTGATTGCACCTAACAGCATTTTTGTGGACTTAGACATGATGGTATAGTCTGTCTCTGCATACTGAAAATGGACATTTTGAGCACAGCAGTGACATAGCCAGCATTTCAGTTTACATACAGATAAATCTGAGTGCTCAGAGTCTTGCGCATGAATGACACCAATTTTGACATATAAGTCACCAATGCTGTCAGGAATTATGATGTTGCCAAGGAAGTTTCAGTATAGTCAAAATCAAATATTTTTCATGCTAAAATAATTTGACAATTCGGTGCAAATTCAGTGACCTTAGTGATGCATGTGACTGCAAGGGTCACTGGTGAGGTTGGCACTGACATCCCACACAGTGGACATGTTTTTTTGGAGCCTGGCCCCTGGTCTTCTACATTATCTGCACCTATAGCTTAAAACATATGGCTTGGAGCTGTATAATTTGCATCAGGCTCATGGTGTGAGTACTCAAATTATTTATAAAAGGTATGTTTCAGTTATATTTATACACCATGATATTTTGTATAAATATCATAGTTGATACCAACCAACCAAACATTAATGCCACTACACCAACCAAACATTACTGCATTGGTATTGTCCCATCAGTATATTTAGCATTGGAGATAAAATTGTGTTGGTTTCTTGTTATCATTGGCATTGTCATTTGTGCACGCCAAAATTCATGTGATATAATCTGTGATGACTGACCGCTTCGCAAGGCTGCGCTGTGCAGCATGTGCTGCGGCTTGCGAGGTATGCTGTGTCACAGTCCAGACTAGTGTCATAACTCACAGACACATCAGTTGTACACTTCATCATTGCCTGGCTGCGTGCAGGTCGGCTGCTCCGTCACTGGTGTCCTGTGTCTGCTGTCTGCTGGTCTCCTGACGGCGCGGCCGCGGCCCGTTCGTGGCGCAGGCGGCGATGGCGGCGCGCCCGCCGGGCTTCCCATCGCCGTCAGACGGCTCGCTGCCCGGCCAGCAGGCCCGCTTCGGCTCGGCCGGCGCCGCCCCACCCATGCGCAGCTACGGCTCGCCCGGATACGCGGTGAGCGGTGATTGATGGCCACGTGCGGGCCGCACCCTGGTCGGTCCAGGAACGATCCGCCCTCATGGGACACCCGCATGACTGTCGAGGCAGGCGATCTCCCTCTGGGATGTGATGAAAAAGGTGTAGAATAAAGTTCGGGCACACAAATTGTGCGCTAGATTGATAATACAAACACCAGGGTTTCCTTAAGCATGCATTGTGGCTGATCTTTTTCTTTTTGTGGAGTCATGACTGGAGCACAAGGGAAGTGTAGGTGGCATTCCCATACATTGTGTATCTTGTGGAGGGCATCTTGAAAGCAGCCTTTCATCCATTCCAAGCACAATTGCTGCCAATGAGATTGCAGTGTCAGGCACTTTCCTTCACTTTCAGGTACATCTTTTTTACTAACATCATTCGTGACCCAGCACATTTGTGGGCTGTTTTGTCATGCCACACTGCCCAGCTGTGTTCCTCTGTGGCCAGTGGTGATGTGGCACTGGCCGTGACGCCCCCCGCCTGTCCGTCACAGGGGATGCCCGCCCAGCACGGCCAGTTCCCGTCCAGCAGCACCCAGAACATGATGCAGCGCTCGGGTGAGTGCGGCTCCGCCCGCCGTGCGCCCGCCGCGCCGCCTGGTGGCCGCCTGACACGGGGCGTGCCATGCCGGCTCGGTGGTAGTTGTGGGCGGTCAGATGCACTCGGCTGTGTTTTCGATTTGGTGCGTGCCGTTTTTTTTTGGGAGGGGGGGCTTATAGGCTCTTGTTTGAAGTGGCTGCAGGGACGAAGTTGAAGATCTAGAAGGCCATGTAGTGATGGGCGCCTGTCTCGTGTCGCCGTGGAGGCCTCCCGTGACCCCTGCCCCTGGTGGCCGGCCACGCGCTGGCGGCCCTTTGTTGCAGATGGCAGAACGTTATAACGCTACGCCCCTCTGGTCTAACCTCCCGGCGACATTTCTTCACAGGGGGCAGCATGGTGCAGAACCAGTACCCGCCGAGCCGGGCGCCCGCCATGCCTAGCGGCGGCAAGCGCTCCTCGGACGCGCGCGCCGTCTCCAGCCAGCCCATGAAGAGGTAGGCTCGGTCGGCCCACCGCTGTCTGCGCGGTCCGCGCCCACGCGGCTACAGAACCCGCCGGGTGGACCGTGACGCAGTGCACGGTCTCACGACTCCCGACCGTATCATGTGTGTGTGTGTGTGTGCGTGTGTGTGTGTGCGTCCGGACTGACATTGCGCCATCTGCCGCTGCAGCGCCAAGAAGAAGAAGCGGATGGCGGACAAGATCCTGCCGTGGAAGGTGCGTGACCTGGTGCCCGAGTCGCAGGCCTACATGGACCTCCTGGCTTTTGAGCGCAAGCTGGATGCCACCATCATGCG